GCTCAAATGGCATTCGGACCGGATTGGAGTCTTGTCCACCGACACTAATGGTTAACCCCTGCAAAGATCCCTGGAAGCAAAAATCACGCAAATATCCTGGTCCTTTGCCCCAACAAATCTTATTTCGTCCCTAGACTCCCTCCTGCCTCTCGCTTCTTACCGCATTAATGCCGGATCTCGTCGTCGATTCAATCCTTGCTGAGTCAGTGCGACGCCGCCACACATGGTCTCACAGCAGGACGATGCTCGCCTGGACGAGCGCCAGCGAGCGATCCTTGATCGCCAGCTGAATGGTCTTGGTGGAGAGGCAGGACAACGCAAAAATGTCTTTGCGTACGCGACACTTTCGGATAGAGTTATCTTGTCTGTTAGCTCGATATGTGCTGTCCTCGCGGGCGCCTTGAATCCTCTGGTCCCGGTCAGTTCATGATGGAAAGTTTCATAATTTGCGCCCCCATGCAGTAACTCATCTCATGCCGGCAGGTCATCTACGGTCTTCTCGTCAGCGTTTACGATGGGTTCGCCGCAGGAACCGTTCCCGCTTCCGAACTGCGTTCCAAAACCGCCACATTTAGTCTGTACTATGTCTACCTCAGTATCGGTCTTTTTGTCTTCACCTACGTCGCCACGGTGGGGTTCTATTATACCGGAGAACGCATTGCCCGGACGATACGGACCACATACCTTGCCGCCATCTTGCGCCAGAATATGGCTTTCTTTGATCTCCTGGGCCCCGGCGAGATTACGAGTCGCATCATGTCCGATATGGGGACGGTGCAGGAAGCGGTCACGAGCAAGCTGGCGGTGATGCTGACCGCTATCGCAACGTTCTGCGCTGCGTTCGTCGTGGCCTTCATCATGTATTGGAAGACCGCGTTGATCATCAGCCCTTTCTTTGTCATCATGATCGTGACGGAGACTTTGGGAGGGGCGTATATGGTCAAACATCACAAGCGGGCGATGGAACTGTATTCTCAGGCTGCCGGGATTGCCGAAGAGGCCATCGCCGCGATCAAACATGTCACCGCGTTCGGGATCCAAACCCTCCTCTCCGAGCGTTATTTGTCCGTGCTGGAGCAGGCCGCCAAGGCAGACCGAAAGGCAGAAAACATGGTCGCAGGGATGATTGCCTGGATGAATGCCATGCCGAATCTGATCTACGCTCTTGCTTTCTGGGCCGGCTCGATCTATCTGACCCGGGGCCAGATGTCCGTTGCTGAAGTGAGCGCGACGACATTGGCCGTAACGATCGGGTCCTTTGCCATTATTAGAATCGCCCCTTCCGCGCAGGCCTTGCTCTCTGGAATTGCAATCACAGGGGAAATTCTGAAGTCGATCGCGCGGCGGTCTCCACAAGATCCCCTGATGAAGCAAGGTGACGAGCCTTCGACCGTAGTGGGTGATATTGTATTGGACCGCGTCGGCCTCATCTATCCCTCCCGGGATGACGTTGATATCCTCAATGATGTGTCTCTGAGGTGCGCTGCAATGAAGAAGACAGCCATTGTAGGCTCGTCAGGGAGTGGGAAAAGCAGTATTCTCGGACTGGTGGAACGCTTTTACGAGCCGACCAGTGGAACAGTCTGTAAGTCGTCCCCGGTTGCGTCGCAGGTACAGTTTTCTCACTTCGGCCAGTGCTCGACGGACATGATATCCAGTCTCTCAATCTTCGCTGGCTGCGACGCCAGATCGCCCTTGTAGATCAAATGCCGGTTCTTTTTAACGCTACAATCTTGGAAAATATTCTCTACGGGTGTTCGGATATTGTCGATCAATTGTCGGAGTCCGAAAAGCATGAAAGGGTTGTTCAAGCATCCAAAAAAGCCAACGCCCACGACTTCATCAGCGCTTTGCCGGACGGCTACCACACCCACGTGGGAGAAAAGGGCCTTCAGCTTTCCGGAGGGCAGAGACAGCGGGTAGCCATAGCCCGTGCCCTAATCAGAGATCCTAAAATTCTTCTTCTCGATGAGGCAACCTCCGCTCTCGATTCCAAGTCAGAGGCAACGGTCCAGAAAGCTTTGGATGCGGCAGCCGAGCATCGGACTACCATCATAGTTGCTCACCGGCTATCGACGATTCAAAACGCGGACCACATTATCGTGCTTGACCAAGGAAAGGTTGTGGAAGAGGGTACGCACCATGCGCTCATTGCGCAGAACGGGGCTTATGCGGCCTTGGTACAGAAGCAGCAGATTGGAGATACTAATGATCAGAAGACCCTTGACGGCACACGCTTGTCCATTGATGATGATGATGATGATGATTCCCCCTATGGTGGCAACCTGGACTATGTCGATGAGAAAGACATACGGACGGAAGAGGTTGCGCTATCCTCGGCCGCTCAAGAGGAGGGAACGCAGAGGGAATCACGTAAACTGAGTGCACTGCAAACCATCGGATTCATTGCACGTCTAAGCAAGAGAGATTGGAAGGTTCTGCTCTTCGGACTCGCAAATGCCGTACTTGCGGGTTTAACCATCCCAGTGTGAGTTTCCCTTTACATTTCCCACTTACTATCACTGAGACCAACCTTGTTGCTCCCCGCAGGCAATCGGTATTCTTTGCGAAAATCCTGACAGCCATCGGCTTCGCCCCTCCTCAGTATTCGCAACTCCGATCCGAAGTCAATTTCTGGTCTGGGCTTTATGTCATGCTGACCGGTACCACCTTTCTCTTTTGGATGGGCGTCGAGATTACTTTATCCTACGCAACCCAAAAACTCGCCGGGCGCGTTCGCGAGATATGCTTTCGCTCTATCTTGGCGCAGGATATGGCTTTTTTCGACGTACCGGGCAACGCGCCCAGTGCGCTTTCCAGTGTGCTATCAAAGAGCACCAACGATCTTGCAGGTATGGGAGGACCCGTTCTGGGCGGGATTCTGACTTTCATCTCGACGATCATTGCAGGCATTATCCTCGCTTTGGCCATCGGGTGGAAGCTGGCTCTTGTCTGCACTGCAACCATTCCGACCGTGGTGGCTTGTGGCTGGCTGCGCTTGCAAGTTCTATCCACATTCGACAGCAAGGTCCGGCAGAGTGGAATAGAATCGGCAGCATACGCAGGAGAGCTGGTCCGTACGGTGCGAACCGTTGCGTCGCTGGGGCTCGAGGAGCATGCTCTGGCCCGCTATGAAGGTATTTTGGCAAGCCAGGCCGCAAAATCCCTTCGCTCCATCTTGTTGGCCTCCGCCTTGTATGCCGCATCTGCGTCGATTGTGTATCTTTGCGCGGCGCTTGCCTTTTGGTATGGTGGCACGCTAATCGCAAGTCACGAGTACTCGACGTTCCAGGTTTATATCTGCTTTGTCAGTCTGATCTCCGGCTCGCAAATCGCCGGGTCGATTTTCACGTATGCCCCTGATGCAAGTAAGGCCATGCATGCAAGCCGAGAGATTCAGGATATTATGAATCTCAAGCCCACAATCAATAACATGGTCCCGACCACGCCACCGCCCGCCCAGGCAGGCACAGAGAAGAATCAAACTCAGCAGAATTTGAGCGCTTGTCGGGTGGAATTCGAGCATGTCTCGTTCACCTACCCATCCCGACCGACGAGACGTGCCCTGGACGACCTCCACATCACAGTGGAGCCTGGTCAAACGCTGGCGCTGGTCGGCCAAAGTGGAAGCGGAAAGAGTACCTGTGTTTCCCTCCTCGAGCGTTTCTACGATCCAGATCAGGGCCGGATTCTCATCGACGGGCAAGATATCAGACTGCGGGATGTGGACGAGTATCGTCTCGACATCTCGCTTGTGAGCCAGGAAACTATTATTTTCTCCGGCACAATCAGAGATAATATTGCTGTTGGTCTGGCACGGCAGGAAGTGCGCGACGACGAGATTCTGGAGGCTTGTAAACAAGCGAATATTCTTGAATTTGTGCAGTCCCTTCCGTAAGTAATCCCCCGAAATGCTTCAAGTAATCTCTTTCCGCACGAACTCATCGCATCAACAGGGATGGGCTATCGACCTTGGTCGGCACGGGGGGCAGCATGCTGAGCGGAGGCCAGAAGCAACGCATCGCCATTGCACGGGCTTTTCTTCGAAAACCCAAGATCCTGCTACTTGACGAGGCCACATCGGCACTTGACAGCCAATCGGAGGCTATTGTCCAAGAAGCCATGGATACAATCAGAAAGGATCGGACTACAATCATGGTGGCGCATCGCCTGAGTACCGTCAAGAATGCGGATGCGATTTGCGTGATGCAGGATGGCAAGTTATTGGAGACTGGAACCCACGAACAGCTTATGGGGAAGAGGGGGAAGTACTGGGAAATGGTTGCTATGCAGAGACTGCACTGATCGACAAGACAGGCGTGGATATCCATTTTTATCATTCGTCCCTTCCTATCTAAAGCCATATCATCGGCCGACTGGGGCCTGGAGATTTGTAGAAAAGCAGGAATATTCCGTTCTACTATTTTTGATCTCGCAGAGGCCCATACGGGTGCTCGGAGATCGCAATAACCTCTGCCAAAGGGCGCAGATCTGTAAGAGCTTCTACTACTGGTGGTGGCGGTGGTGGTGCACGTGCATACATGTATGTAGAGAACAGTTTTGATGCCTTAGCTCCAAGGTGCAAAAGAATCCAATCGTATAATGTCTGTTACTTCCTAGCGACACCTTATTTCACCCTCCGTACGGATTTCTTCAACCATCCCCAACCGAGCAGTATTTGCAATCAATCGACGGAGAATCCGCCTATACGCATGGGCCCACAATCTGCGCTTCCCATCGGCTATTGCCCTTGCCAGACTACGTTTCCGAAAAGTGGTCCCAAGTCGCTGTCGGAGTGGAGTGGCCGAACAGGCGCCCCGAATGCCGATATCAGGGCTGCATGCCGAATTATGAGCTCTGGCCCTCTCTAGTAGATTGAAACCCAGCTGAAGGTGCATATGAAATGGACTCCGCGCACCTACAGATTCAACGTATCTGTAGGGCCATACACAGCACCTGTAACTCTGTGGTTGCTACCCCTTTTGGTCTTTCTTTGCAATATGTTGTTACAAGACCCTAATCACCGTGAGGAACTAGACGACGATGTCGAGAATGCTTTCTCGAACATCAATGGAACTGTGCGACAATCTTCGCAGTTTGCCAATGTGTCCAGCATCGACGTTCCCTTGACACATCTGCCCGTCTTGACCCTCAGATCCAAAACGGCCAACTCCCGCACMGGACTGGCAAAATCCCTCCCTTACGCATCACCTGATGCGCCAAGATCGACCATCGAAGAGCAGAATGTACTCATCAAGACCTGGGCGATACTGCTACACCAATATGCGGCGTCTGATAGGGTCGCATTTGCCATTATCGGTAAAGCCGGCCCCTCGGGGCACTCAAGTGGACGAGCCTCCACACAGGTTGTGGTCTCACACTGGTCCACGACCCCGACAGCTTTTGCCCAAAGCAGCGGGCCCCAGTTAGAGTTTGTCACATTTGATCCTTCACAACACGGCAGTAGGGTCAATACTGCCCTTGACTTCACTGCCATATATCACTCCAACAATGACTTCAGCTATGTTCTCCACTGGTCAGAAGAAGGTGCCAGAGATCTGCGCCTCTACACTCAGCAGTCGTCGGTGCCTACCAAGTTTGCATCTGCCTTGTGGACTACACTTCTGGAAATCAATACCAGAGTCAGGACTGCAGATCCTCTACTTTACAAGCGTCCGATCAGCAAAGCAGATCAGAGAGCCATCAGCTCATTTATTACCGCACCGCTTTTTGAAGAAAGAAAGTGTTTGCACCACCTCTTCCTCGAGTCAGCTCGAGCTACTCCTCAAGCGCCTGCTGTGCAGGGGTGGGATGGATCTTTCACCTACGCTGAACTAGACCAGCTTTCCAACAACGTTGCGAGCCAGCTCCTGCGTCGAGGTGTGCGCAAGGGTCAGTACGTCCCGTTTTCATTTGAAAAGAGCGTGTGGATGGTTGTCGCAATTATCGGGATTCTCAGGGCTGGGGGAGTGGTCGCCTCGATTGATCCTTCCCAACCTCAGTCCCGGGCCCGGGAAATTATCCAAGAGACAGGGGCAACGGTGATTGTAGCTTCCAATGCTCAAGCTTCGATCTTTGCAGATCTCGTCGACACCGTTGTACCCATCTCGGCGGACTCCGTGCACTACGCGGTGGACGATACCGGCTTACATATATCGTTGCCTCAAGTTCAACCCGCGGACCCTGCCGTGATAATCTTTACGTCGGGATCAACCGGCAAGCCCAAGGGAATTGTCATCCAGCACKGTGCGGCCGCTACCCGAATGGTGGCCGAGGGCAGAGCTTTCCAGTACCATGGTGCGAGAACCTTACAGTTCGCCGCCTCCACATGGGACATCTTCATGACGGATATCTTCACTACCCTGGCGTTCAACGGCTGCGTTTGCATTCCGAGTGAAGAAGATCGCAGATTTAACCTTTCCAAGTTTTGTGCCGAATATGACGTGTCACTGGCACTTATCACTCCGTCACTGGCAAACCTCCTGGAACCTACTAGATTCCCAGCCCTCAAGACACTGATATTCGGCGGAGAAGCACTCAAAGAGGAGGTGATCCGAAAGTGGGAAGCAATCGATGGCATCTCACTTCATCAAGGCTACGGGCCAGCAGAGACCGGGCCCTGTGTCGCTACGCGTTTGGCCGAACGGCCGGAAATTCTGGGCTATGCGCTCGATAATTCAATCTGCATCCTCGTTGATCCCAGTGACCCGAACCAACTGGTCCCACTTGGAGCCGTAGGTGAGCTCGTCGTCGGAGGGCCCAGCTTGCTTCGGGAATACATCAACGACCCCAGCAAGACTGACGCCGCAGTGATTGAGAACCCTTCTTGGGCATACGGCCTAATGGCTCCTGTGCGGCGATTTTATCGGACGGGTGATCTTCTCCGATACAGTGTCGACACCCTGGATGGTCGGCTAGAATTCGTTGGTCGCACTGACGATCAAGTCAAGTATCACGGCCAGCGCATCGAACTGGGAGAGATTGAGCACCACTTGAGCCGGCTCCCCGGTGTAGAATCATGCGTCGTTGTCCTTATCAGAACAGGGTTTTTCAAAGACAGGCTGGTAGCTGTGGTGCAAGCTGGAAAGTCCAGCGGCGGCAACAGTTACGGCAAACAGCTCTCAATACGATATGATCAGAACATCACGGTCACTCATATGAGAAGCTTCCTGTCGTCACGATTACCAGAATTCATGATTCCAAATGAGTTGCTGGTGGTCCATGAACTACCACACAACAGCTCCATGAAACTTGACAGGGGTCGGGTCACCAAGTGGATCTCCGACATGCAGAGCCGACCTTCGGAGGCAATCGCGAATCCGCATACTCTGAGCAATGAGTTGCTGGCTCATGAATCGACGGCTAGGACAATTGCTCGCGAGTACGCCAAGATTGTCGCGGGCGACAATATGACTCGTCGCCGAGAGTACGAAGGGCGCGATTTCAACCTGCAGGAAGGCGGCATCGACTCGATCCAGATCATGTCGCTGTCGATGTTCCTTACCCAACATTTTGGGTTCCAAGTCCCCATGACAGATATTCTCAGCTCGAGGGCCACCGTACGATCAATTGCTTCGGTGATTGATGCGAACAAGAGCCACGATCTGGGAATAGGTGAGGGGCAGCCGCTGAGTATGCGGGATAAAATCCGCATTCCACCAAGATCCGATATGCCGGCCCCCAACCAACATTCTCTGGAAATAAATAGCAGCAGCGTTTTTCTCACGGGAGCTTCTGGCTTCCTTGGCATTGAGATGCTACGGCAATTGTTGGCTCGACCAAGCACGCACGTCTATGCGTTGGTCCGGGGATCATCGGAGAGCCAAGCTCGAGAACGTGTCGTACAAAAGGCAATCTCGGCTGGCTGGTGGCAGGATGCATATCGTACCAGACTCCACGTTTGGCACGGTGATCTAACGCTTCCACAGCTTGGGCTAAGTCACTCTCAATGGCAAATGCTGCAGGGCCAAACGTCTCCGAGCATTGACGCGATCATCCACAACGGCGCTAAGGTGCATTACAGTCAGGATTATGAAACACTGAAGAAAACCAACGTCTCGCCAACGGTCGAGCTGCTGAAAGCGGTACATAATCGCGAAGAACCCCTGCGTAGCTTTGTCTTTGTATCGGGAGGGCAGCAGCTTAGCTTCGACGACAGCGACGACGAGAAAAATGCGACGAAGTCGCTAAAGGGATCCGGCTACGCACGATCAAAGGCCGTTTCTGAACAGATTGTCCGTAGATTCGCCAATCAAAAAGGCTCCAAGGCTCGGCATGTTCGAATCGTGAAACCAGGGTTCATCATCGGCGACTCTGAGCGAGGCCTTGCAAATCAATCCGATTTTATCTGGAGATTGATCGCTGCGTGTGTAGAAATGGGATTCTACAACGAGGACGAAGTGGACAGCTGGCTCTTTATCTCTGACATCACCCGAGTAGCGCAAATGATTCTGCACAGCGTGTTTGAAGAAGACGCTAAACCCGTCACAAAGGTACTGGATGGACTGAGATTCAAGACTTTGTGGGCCCTTCTCCAACAGAAATTCGGATTTGAACTTCAACCCCTCCGTCGGCAGCAATGGCTCGCACGCCTCCAACAATCAGTTGCCCAAAAGAAAGAAAAACACGTGCTGTTTCCGCTGCTCTACCTGCTAGAGGCTAGTGATGAGCCAATTGGGGTGTTTCACGGACCTTTGGACCCAAGTGCCGGAGTTCAAGCGGCGCTGGAAGCAAACATCACATATCTGATCAACTCGCGGTTTCTGATCCCAGCGGACTCGGTGCTGACTCCGACAACATCGGAAGCGAGTACTGCGCCCGTGATGGATGTCATTGATGTTCAAAGCTTGAGAGAGCAGTTTCCGGCCTTGCACCACGGCGTCGTAGCTTTCAACAATGCTGCGGGAACTGTGTTACATCGGGACGCTGCTGAGAGCACACACCGATACATGACCTCATTTCCTTATGAGCTGGGTCGTGATGATCCAGCGAGTGCCGCGAAAACGCAGCGACTTCAAGATAGATTCGCCGAGCTCGCAGCATTCATGAATGCCGACCCCGATGAAATAGGTGAGTACTTCCGTAGATCACGCCACAGACGAAGGTCTTTTTTTTCCCGTTGGAGGTGCCAATCAACTAATCCTGACAGCTTTTGGCCAATCTACTACCTTCCTACTTCGCTCCCTCGGCCAGGCACTAAAGCCTTTGCTCAATTCGGATTGTGAGATCATCGTTTCCGTTCTTTGTCACGAAGCCAGCGCGGCGGCGTGGCTTGCCCTCGCTAAGGACCTGGGAATCGCCATCAAATGGTGGGCCCCACCACCCGGCGACGACCCAGTTCTGTCACTCGACACATTGAGGCCATTGTTGACGCCCAAGACCCGGCTGGTAGCCTGCAACCACGTCTCCAACGTGGTGGGTACCATCCATCCAATCCGCCAAGTGGCGGACCTTGTTCATAGGATTCCCGGGGCGGTCATCGTTGTGGACGGAGTGGCATGGGCCCCGCACCGACCCATTGACGTCAAGGCCCTGGATGTGGACTTCTACTGCTTCAGCTGGTACAAGGTCTTTGGACCCCATGTCGCACAACTGTACGGCCGCCGTAGCGCTCAGAAACGCGCTCTTGTGGGCATCAGCCACTTCTTCCTCGGCGAGATGCCGGGTCTGGACTGGCGTTTGCGTCTCGGTGCTAACTCCTTCGAGCTTGAAGAAGCCCTGGTGCCGATCACCCAATACCTGAAACGGGTGGGCTGGGACAACATCATTGCCCAAGAGACGGTGCTCCAGGACGTTTTCTTGGCGTATCTCCGACGCCGGCCCCAGGTGTTTCGCATCTTCGGCGAGAAGTCATCTGACCCTAGGAAGCGCGTGCCGGTGATTACATTTGAGGTGATTGGACACTCGTCTACATTGGTGACCAACAAGGTCAATCAGAGGGGGCGATTCCGCGTTGTGTCTGGAAATTGCTGGGCTCCAAGACCAACGCATGACGTGCTGGGACTGGGCGCTGAAGGTCTCATCCGGGTTAGTTTCGTGCATTATAACACTGTTGCGGAAGTACAGGAGTTTTGCGTGGAGCTTGATTCAGTTCTGGAGACTTTGAAAGCTGGAAAATAGTATTCAGATGGAATACACACGCTCTCCAAAGTACCATTCCCTCGTGCTTGCCAAACGTCGAAGCGAATGGTGAAAACTTCTAATTCTGTGCACCTAATAAGAGTATATACTGATATAATTTACAACTTACGCATTTGGGTGATCGTTTGACCTTGCGTATAGATTTCTCTCCTACAACAGGATATGCCGCCGGAGATGCCAAAGCCCAACCCTTGATATCGTACGATTGGATAGCTTCAGAGGGGGGTTGTCTTCATAGCACATAAAATTATGTCAAAGGTCACTAGATAAGAAGAACCGTACCTTCATCGCTATTTCATTTGCACGCAAGATACTAATGGTTCGTAAATTAGTAATGGTAAAGCGGTTTCCAACGATAATCTTCCATGTATGCAAGTCCCGGTATTTCATACCGTTGGCTGTCTATTGCACCATCACCACTACCGTAAGATGAGTACCTTTTACACTACTTCTGATTATTTCGTTCTCTTTCCAAGTACCAACCTCTGCATGGAACTAACCGGGCCGACTATTCGGAGTCGGCTCGGTCAGCGCTGACAGTCGGCCCGAATGCGCCACAGAGTGTCCGTATTGGTCCATTAGCACCAGCAGGAGGAGCCGCTTATAGTGAGAAGAGAGTCGCTATCGAACACATGGTACCCTAATTTCTCGAACCATAGAACTTCACGGCGTCTAGCGAATCTGCTTTCAAGCCCACGTGACCATGGCCAATGCAAGTGATTATGTTGAAGTCTTGATCATCGGCGCCGGGCCAGCAGGGTCTGTGTTGCGATCTACCCTCTTTTTTCTCTTTCCAACAACTGCTAGGCGAGGAAGAGTAGGCTAACGGATGCACAAAAGGCTTACCACAGCGAACTCCTTCAACGGCAGCAAACGTCGTGTGCGATTAATCGACTGGAAGCCGGGGCCGCTCGAGACCGGTCGAGCGGACGGCCTGAAAAGCATCTCGATCGAGGTGTTGGACTCCTTCGGTATTGGCGACACAGTACTCAACGATTGCCAGCCCTGCGAAGAAATCGTGCTGTGGAACCCGGGCAAGGATGGGGTGATTACACGGACGATGACCATCCCAGATAAGGTGGAGGAGCTGGGTAAGGCGCGAGAGGTGACCCTGGATCAAGGTATGAACCATGATTCTTGAAGGCAACCAAGCCACCGGCTGACTCCCTTTTCCAGGACAAATTGAGCGCGTCATGGTGGAAAACCTCTACAAACACAAAACCGTCGAAGTCAGTTGGAACACCCAACCCGTCAGCTTGCAAATCGATCCCTTGACGAAAGACGAGCCCGAGGCATATCCTCTCACCATCACGGTACAGAACAGGGAAACCCACGTCCAAGAGACGATACGTGCGAAATATGTGGTTGGAGCGGACGGTGCGCATAGCTGGTTGCGCAAGTATCTCAATATCGGATTCTCTGGAGATTTGACAGACTCCACCTGGGGTGAGTGATGGATCGTTCCACCGACACCGTTGGAGTTTGATCACTGATGAGGGTCTGGGTCTGGCTAGGGGTGATGAATCTGGTGCCCAAGACCGACTTCCCAGATATTCGCAAAGTGTTTGTAGTCCATTCCAGCATGGGAACCGTCATGGGAGTCCCGCGCGAAGACAAACTCGTCCGCTTATACATCAGCATGGACGGAGGAAGTCGCCACACATCCATCGATGCCAAGAACGTCACGGCAGAGATTCTTCTCAAGGCCACTCGAGCCATCCTGGCACCTTACACCTTCGACGCTGCGCGGATCACATGGTGGTCGGCCTACTGCGTCGGGCAGCGGGTGGCCGACGAATTCGCCCGTCATGACCGGATCTTCTTGGCCGGCGATGCAGTCCACACCCACTCCCCCAAGGCAGGTCAGGGGATGAATACTAGCATTCAAGACGGATACAATATTGGCTGGAAGCTGCGGTATTGTCTGGAGCAAAAGGCGAGCAGGGCCCTGCTCTCGACATACCAGACCGAGCGTCGGCCCATCGCGCAGGCGCTCATTGACTTCGACCGAAAGTACCTGAAGTCATTTACCCGAAGGGATATCACCCACCACGAGTTCCTCGAAGCATATCTCGCCGGGCAGAGATTCACTACGGGGATTCAGATCCAGTATTCGCGGTCGCTCATCGTGAAAACAAAGCAATTTCTCACGCCGTCTCATCCTCGAGCCACAAACCTGGCACCGGGAAAACGTCTACCAGATTTCCAGATGGTCAATCAATCCGACGCGGTGCCTATCCAAGCATACCATCGGTTCACCAGTGACGGCCGTTTCCGCCTGCTTGTTTTCCCGGGCGACATTTCCCAAGAAATTGCGCTCAGCCGCTTCAATCTCCTGGGAGATTGGCTCACCTCACATCTTCCGCAAAGTTCTGGTCTGGAGATAATCACAATCCATGGAGCCAGGCGCGCCGATGTCGAATTGATGGATCTTCATCCAGCCTTCCGGCCGTGGAGCGACGAAGATGGGTGGAATTACTGGGCTGTGTATGCCGATGATGAGAGCTACCATAAGGGTCACGGGCATGTGTATGAGCGCTGTGGACTCAGCAAGGAGGACGGCGCTTTAGTTCTATTGAGGCCGGATGGATATATCAGTCTCATTGCCTCTTTCGAAGAAACTCATGAATTGATAGACTTCTTCGATGGACTCAAGCCAACGTCGAGAACTGTGCCGGAGCGGTGGGCGAACTTGTAAGATTGCACTAAAAAGAAACAGAATCAGTGTTTCTTCAAAGAAATACACACCAGAGGTCGGAGTCACCGGCAAAGATACTTTAGAGTACTTAAGGCTCCTGGTTTTCCCTGAATAGTGTTCATATTCGTTTTATGTCTCAATCGATATCTAACCTTCTGTTTTTCTCGACAAATTCTTTGTACATACAAAAATCGTGAAGTGGCAGAGCAGTTATATATGCAGGAGACCCTTACTGCTGTTAGAGCTGATCAATTCAAGTCTTCATCCTAATGGCGGGTTTAAGCGATCTACGCCTGACAACCCGACGCATTTATATCTACCTGTCTTGCTTCTAAACCATCCCTTCCTTTTCTTTGCAATTCGTTCAAAGTGAGTTGCAATGCAAAGCCAAACTTTGAAAATTTTTCAGTTGTTCCTGAATGCGATTGAGTGAGACCGTACCCTTGGTCGGCATGCACGGAGGCGTGCACCAAAAGTGTTGACCCACGCTAGTAAGCTTGGCTGTATCCTTCTGACGCAGCCACTTAGTAATTTATATGGCAACGCGTCTACTTAGGAAGAATATTTGTTTACATTCTAGTATTCAACTCTTTGATACTATCCAAACTCACTATTTTCATCAAATCTATTGCCTACCATGCCTAAGAACGGTTATCATCTAATTAAAATGTGCATTCAGATACTGGGGCTTATATCCTTGGGGGTAGAAGCTAAAGATATCACTACTAAGCCAGAGGTTCCTATTTAATCTATCTAGAATAGAGTTGCATAACCGAACCGGTAAAATCAAATCCAAGCCTCACCGAACTCGCAGCGGTGAGGTTCAGTTCCTAGATTCCAAACTTGCACCTGGTTAGGGGCAGGTCAGGGTCGGATCCAGGGGGGCATCAGTTAAACTATTAAAAACCATTTTGCTTAGTAATCACTAATTTCTTAGATTCTCTAGAAATATTAATATCACTAGATAGCCTAGTATCTAGTCTATCTAAATATGAAATATCAATTCAAAATATCTAGTGGTTGGTGAGATATAAGGGAATAATCATTTCTGTCAGGGGTTGGTATGAAAGTGGTGATGGTTTTTATATGAATATCAACCTTCGATAATCAATTGAATCTAAGGATAATTTTAACCACTACCCATTCAACCCTATAGATATTGAATCGATATTTTAGAATTAGATTAGTATAATAATAATTACCATATATTCATATAAAAATAATAATTTTAAATAAGTATGCTAGATAGGCCCTAGGTATAGGCCTAAGATAGGAGAAATTGAATTCTAAAAACTATTGAAATTTTAGATATTGCCTAGCCCTACCGCCCACCTAGATAGGCTAATGACTGCCTATCTAGGCCTAGTGGCGGATTTTGCGGTTAAACTTGAACCAAATCAGAACGGATCAGGTTTGGATCCAATTTCTAGAATTTCAACTCAAAATCGCAGCGGTTCGGTGCCAACTGGTTTTGAACTCGCCCGAACTTGTTAGAGTTGCATTTAGTCTGAGTTCAGGTGAGTCCAACCCCAGTTGGAACCGAACTGCTGCGATTTCAGGTTTAAATTTTAGAAATTAGAACCTACCCTGACCTGGTGCAATTCAATGTGAGTTCCACTACAAAATCCGCGATAGGCCTAGATAGGCAGTCACTACTGAACCATATCACTGAGAAAGATAGAGATCTGAAAGTGCTACTCATGCTAGKGCTGCAGGATGACTTACTGTGCATAGAGTATCTACACCTAATTGTATTTATTTACTTAATAACTCTTCTATTCTGTTTTCATTTAATTCTTGTGAAACATTTGTGCATGAGAGAGAGGGAGAGAGGGGTAGTCTCTGAGACTGAACCAGAGAAATGAAAAAAAAGCCTCTATGCTACAGAATATTTAGGATGAACTTAAGCTTTTTCCAATAGCAAGTAACATCCGGCCGGTCCGCGGACCCCGAGCGTTAAACTGGAGCGAGTCCAGCACAGATGTTGGAGCTACGCTTTCTCCCTGCTGATATCGGGGTCCGGAAGGAGTTTAGTTTACCACGATTCCTTGGTCTAGGACCCTGCTCCGATAGTTTTTTTGTTCCTCACAGACTTAACCTAATTTCTTTTTCTCCGCCGTCCGTCAACACCTCACCTCATGGCTATTTCCATAATCGAGGATCCGGAGAACCCGTCTCTGGATCATGAATCTGACTACCCAGACGGTGGTTGGCGTGCATGGAGTGTGGTTCTGGGCTCCTGGTGTGCTATGGTGCCATCATTTGGGTTGTTAAACACCATTGGGGTGCTCGAAGCGTGGTTGGCAAATGATCAATTAAATGACTACTCAAAGGCGTCAGTCGGTTGGATTTTCAGTTTATATTCATTTTTCCTTTACTTTGGAAGCGTTCAAGTTGGTATGTAGGCTCTCATCCCTTGATTACCATGCATGTATGGGCCAGCTGATGATTGCAGGGCCCGCCTTTGACGCCTATGGGCTAAAACCCTTGCTTATACCTGGATGCATAGGGCTCATAGGCTCTATCATGATATTAAGTGTGGCAAAAGGTATGGTCCACTCTACCTCCGACTCAATCAAGCCTAACTGCATTCTCACTGCTCCCTAGAGTACTATCAATTCATGCTTGGATTCAGTGTTCTTGGCGGCATCTCCTCATCTATGGTCTTCACCCCTAGCGTCGCTTGTCTTACTCACTGGTTCCTGCGACGTCGTGCGCTAGCMACCGGCATTGCCGCAACCGCTGGTGGATTCGGTGGCATAATCTTCCCTATCGTTATCTACAATCTTGCTGAAACCGTCGGATTCCCCTGGGCCATCCGTATCTTGGGCTTCATCTGCTGCGTATTCTGCATTCTCTGCATCCTCCTCCTCAAAACACGGCTTTCACTATCTACCAATGCGAACAACAATGGGAAGATCAACCTTCGTGCCCTGCGCGAAATGCCCTTCACTTTCCTCACCATCGCCATTATATTTATTGACTTCGCCCTTCTTATTCCCCTTACCTACCTCCCATCCTACGCAGAAGCAAACGGTCTGCCCCCTTCCCTCTCCTACCAACTCGCCTCCATCCTTAATGCGGCTTCCATCTTTGGTCGCGCGGTCCCAGGCTATTTCGCCGACCGTTTCGGTCGCTTCAACGTCATGATCATAACTACCTTCGTCTGCGCTCTGTTCACACTCACAATATGGATGCCCGCTGCGTCCAATAATGCCGCCATCATCGCATACGCCATCGTATTTGGCTTCTGGAGTGGCTCAGCCATCAGTTTGGCCCCTGTCTGTGTCGCCCAAATCTCAGAGACTGCCGAGTATGGCCGTCGTTATGGGACTGTATACTCCTTCGTCAGCGTGGGTGCGCTCGTTGCCATCCCCATCGCTGGCGAGATCCTCTCAGCCAACAGCACGCCCTATCATGAAGAATATCTCGGATTAGTTGGGTTCTGTGGCGGGGTATACTTTCTCGCGGGGGTGTTTTTCACCCTGTCCAGATGGAAGTGTACCGGCTCCCTAGTTGGGGTATTCTAAAACGTACAGACTGACTTGATATAGTTTGGTGTGCTCCCATGTAGCGGTTTAATTGGAACTCGGGTAGGGGATACATTCATTCGTCTAATCAGTTACTTTTCTTGTCAGATTACGCATGCTGCACAGCGGTGCCCTAAAACAATGGAAGGAAGTGAAAGGTTCTAGCCTTCGTCCAAAAGGCCTTGCCAAGCATAGCTCTCTCTTCAAGAGCCACTACCCGAATCCCTCACCAGACTCCTGCCAGGCATTCTCTTCACGCTCTCTTTGCTCTGCGTCCTCTCTGCTTTCAGGACGGGCACAACGCCAGCACTTGTAGTGGAATCTCACATGCTGTCACCCGCCTTCATCTTGAACAGCGAGCCCAAACTGTCATTGCCTGTCTCATCACATTGCCAGGAAGCCACCTAATACATACTACAGTAACAAGGTCAAAATTATGAAATATATATAAGAGGCCTGAATCTTGGTTCCGTCTAGCAAAACTACGGATTCCTTTAACTATCCCCAAGCTAGCAGTATTTGCAGTCGATCGACAGAGAATCTGCCTATAACGACTTGCGCTTCCCATCGGGAATGCCCTTGCCAGAGTACTTTTCCAAAAAGTGGCCCAAATTACTCTCGAAGTGGAGCGGCCGAACAGGCACCTGAATACTGATATCAGGGCTGCATGCTGAAGAACAAGCGCCGGCCCTCCTTAATAGATCAGAATACAGCTGAAGGTGCATAGGAAATGGACCCTGTGCACCTACAGTCCAATGTATCTATAGGGCCATACACAGCACCTGTAACCCCATGATTACCACCCCTTTTTGTCTTTCTTTACAATATGTTGTCCCTAATTACTGTGAGGAACTAGCCAGCGACATTAAGAATGCTTTCCCAAACATCAACAGAGCTGTGCAACAATCTTCACAGTTTGCTGATGTGTCCAGAATCAACATTCCATTGACACATCTGCCTGCCCGTCTTGACCCCCAGATCCAAAACTGCCAACTGTAGAATTATGCGTGGTTTTCCTTATCAAAACAGGTTTCTTTAAAGACAGGCTTGTAGCTGTGTTGCAAGCCAGAAAGCCTAATAGTAGTAATAGTTATAGTAAATAGCTCCCATTATAATATCATAATCACTCTATAAGAAGCTTCTTGTCTTCATAATTAGCAGAATTCATGATTCTAAATGAATTACTAGTAGTCTATGAACTGTCATACAACAGCTCCATGAAACATGATGAGGGTTGCGTCACCAAGTGGATATCTAACATGCAGAGCAGACCTTCGTAAGGTCTCATCCGGGTTAATTTTGTGCATTATAATACTGTTGCGAAAGTGTAAGAGTTTTGCATGGAGCTGATTCAGTTCTGCAGACTTTGAGAGCTGGAAAATAGTATGCAGAGGCACGCAGATGGAAAACACACCTTGCTGTACCTGGGCGACATCGGCAGGCTTCTCATTCCGTAGTTCCTCCAATATACATCCTTGTTCTCCAAGATCTGAAATACCATTCCAGCTGAAGCATGCTATGCAATGTGGCAGTGAGCTACCCATACTCCCAGATTGTCAGTATGAAAATCCCTTCATTGGGAGCAAGACAACGTCACGTCTCGGCGGAATAATCATATTTCAGATTCAGCGCTGTTTCATTGTACAACTTACTTGACAGCTGGAGGAGTGCGAAATCATGTCCATGCATGTGTCCATCCCAGAGATACGTGGCAGGTCAACAATGCCTGCTCTTGTCTTTGAGGCGAACCTACTACAAGTGCGGCAGGACAGAGTCTACCTCCTTTTGATTGTCCTCAGTCTGATGCCTGGTTTCTGATTATCACCATATAATTGCAGCCCTTGTGACAGGTTTCATTTGCTGGCACATGGATACACTACGGAAGTGTTCTTGAACAGTCTGTCTGTATTTTTGACTGTGGGCTTACTAAAATTCACCAACAGTGGGTAGTCCATGATGTTCCAATTTCGCGCAAGGGGCGTGAAGGTACATGATGCTCAGTGGTAGAGTCCAATTTCCAAGCCTGACACAGCAATTTGGGGTAAAGTACTCTCCCTTCTCATCACATCTCAGGTTGGATACCGTCCATCGCAAGACCGGCTTCAGTGCATCTTGGGGCTTATCACGATATTCAGAGCTGACTATAGTATCCCTTGCTGCACCTCAAGGTATTTCCCACTGGAAGAATCCAAACTACTGCAGAGTTCAGCAGGGATAGTCTGAATCCAGAAGTAATCCGTATTATTGCGTTGACTTTCGGGCCAGGTATTAAGCATAATGTGGTATTGTCGACCTCAAGATACGTGAGTGCCCATGGATGGAGAAACTGTGGAAATATAATATGTACTAATTTCAATGGCTTGGTAGGTGGCATTGTATGGCTGAATAAGAATGTCTACTCCGATAACAGTAAAATTATAGTAATCAATAGTGAAAATATATGTTGTATTAGTGGAGGTGTTCATCCGTCTCAACAAGTACTGTCTACTCTGGAAGACGGCACTAAAGGGTCAACGCTGTTGTTTATGCGGGAAAGGAATAAAAAAGGCAATTTGCTCCTTTAACTATTGTGTTATATCTTGAGGACTTTATACCAGCATAGCTTCCTGAGAGTATCGAGATGTGACTGCTTTCAGATCCAGGGTTTAGTAAGTGTACCTCGCCTGTTGCTAAGGATACTTTGCATCTTTGATGGAGCCTTAACACCTCTCCCCTTCATTGCAGTGAACCATTGCTGATAATACTTTTGAAATGTGCTTTTGTGGATATGGTCACCTAGGAGAACTAGGTTGATAGACTCATCCTAGTTCTCAGAGGTTGCACTATGGATAGTTATGGGTCTCAGAATGCCATTAGTATATTGAAGGGAATAATGGCTGTGGTACTAAATGAGCCAAATTATGTTGCGTTAAGCTTGTATATAAAGCTTTTTCCTGGCGTAATGGGACATTGTGTAATTCTGGGCATGCTGTCCAATGAGGCTATTATTCAGCTGATGTAGTCAACGCCAATGCATTGCAGTTCCATTATATGAAAGAATGTTTTATTTTTGATGTCAGTAATGGGCTGATCTTTAAGAGGCACAGTGAACTCACGAATCCATGGCCCAGGAATCTTTCTGTTAACTAGCTTTGCTCCGTGCAAATCCACTCCATCCTGACTGGCCTGACTGCCATTATGCACAATGAGATGGTACTATTTAGAATAGGGTGAGGATACCTCCATCATTAGCTCACTTGCCTCTTCTGCCCTTTCGGCCACTTTTCTTCATAGTTGGTGGTAATGTCGTATGGCTCTGGCTTCCATGTGTTTTCATTTTGAATCCAGATGTATCTCTCGCCTGTGGATTCGGGATGCTCCCCAACTATTTGCAATTCCATTTGATCCGGTATCGCCGACTCCTCCTCCTGGGGCTAGGAATACAGGGGCACCACCCCAAAACCGTCCGAAGACTCATTCTCGGCAGTTACGCCATCCACTGGATGCAAGGGATATTGCTCGGGTTTAACTAGGGAGGGTATGCCAAAGAATTCAAATATATTAATAATGTAGTACTTGGGTTTTAGTTTTCATTTATCTTGCAGTGATCAAAGTATGCACTGGCTTGACTTTCCACTAGATTGTTTCATAAGAAGCTGAAGCCAGACGTCTCCAGAAATAGATACCTTGTCATTTGGCTACAGACATCCGACAACTTTGGCACAAGCTGAGTATAATCCCTTAGTCCCTAAACCATTAGGTTGGGTTAGCTTGAGAATAATGATGTATACATTATGTTCACACTGCCGAAGACGGCAACACTAGAACCATATCCAAGTAACTCTGATTAATGACCTAATTAATGATCAACTCACTGATGCAAACGGAAAATGTCGATATCTAGAAGTCCAATTTTAGGTCTCAATATGGGTTTCCGGGCCTTTCGAGGACAGGCGGCGCCCTGGAGCTACTCCCATGAACTACATCTGCACTGCTATCAGGGCAATCTACAAAAGCAAGATGCATTCGGACATACCCACATACAAGAGCCAATCAAAGGACTGGAAACCAATATTGATGTCATCATAGATGGGATCTGGCAAAGGTTCGCCAGGTTTGATTGAGGCAATTGCGCTCGGCGAGCCCAATCAATATCCTGCATGTAACTAACAGGCAGAGTTTGCAGATCAGAAGCAGACCGCAGCATCTGCAGTATCATGGAGTGCAGTAACCAATGAAAGTGATACCTCCTTGGTCTACAACTCAAAGCAACCTACCATGGAGAAATATACTTGGAATCAAGTATGTAGACTTTAACCCTTGCTTCCTTGGTGTAATGGATAGGAAAATTCCATAATGGTGCTATAATGCTTCTTTGTTGCCTTGCGTACTACAGTTTGAGAGTAGATTTTCTATTTGATCATCCATGAGCCCTGCAAACTATGGTTGATATACCTGTATAGAGTAACATCAGTTCCCCAATTGTATCTATTGAGATAATACTTTACTATGATAGCAACAATGATTGCATTCTTATGCCTGCTGTTGCTGGAAGCTCTCTTCTGATCTTAATAGAATGACCTGGGTAAGGAATCTACAGAATTTGATGTGAAAATAATTCTTTTCCATTCTGGAAGTAATGTATATACCTTGCATTAAGTTTAAGTCTTATCCTGTAATTCCAAGGAGCCATTAATTTCATTTCACATTCCACACACCGCCTCCACCCTAACTCCTTTTACCTCATTTCTATACACAATGCCATGGGCTTGTTATACAACTTGTGAAGGTTATTCAGTATCTGTAAGGCGCTCGGGGGCAAACCTAGAATCAGACTATTAGCTTCTAATATAGTGTTAGAGATTTCTCCACCTGCTCTTGCGAAATATAAAGTGCTTGAATTATTAAATATTTAGCGCCTGATGGTAATATTTAGGCTGATGGATCATATGCGTTAGTACACATGTTACCATACAAACCATCTGCAAGCTTTGTACAGAAATGTAGACAACTACAGGCCA